TGTTTTTTTTCAAATACACCATCTGTAACACGACAACCAGCTACAGGTATTTTTTTATTTCGATCTGTTATGTCAAATGTTTGTAGAACATCTGCTGAACCTGTTTGAATATCTTCTTCTGTCGATGGTATACGTTTTGTTAATTCATCTTTTATATCATTTAACATATGATAAATAACATTAAATGTTCGAATTGGAACATGTGCTCGACTAGCGTCAGCTGCTATTGTTTGACTTATATTTGTATTAAATGCATAAATCGTTGCTATAACAGAAAAATATATTTTCATTAATAGAATTTATCGATTAGTCCTCTTATTAAATTTAATAAAAAAAAATTTAGGAAAATTTCATCTCATCTATATTGTATTTATATATGCGATTGTGGTCGATGTAATCGAATAGAAAATAAAAATAATAACAAAAGGCATCAAACCGAAAAGTATTTTGTATTATTTATGGATGGTTTGATCCTACGAATGATGATACATTCAAATTTTCAATACATATATTTATCAATTAAATCATTCATGCAAATATACTTCATAAAATTATTCTATCATTGTGTGATTTTAGTAAATAGAGAGACTGTTGATTGTCTGTACAAAAGTATTATTGTAATCTTTATGCTATTCTGCATCTAAGTTTCATCTCTTATTCATCAAACGAAAAAAAAACTAACCATTAAAGAGTTGAGCTGCTTCTATATCATCGTCATTTACTTGGCCAACAGAAGCATCAATAACATCAAGTGGACATCGTGTATCATTATACATATTAATAATGTTTGTTAACGCTTCCAAAGTACCATAAACATCCGCTAGAATATATTACAATGAATTTTATTTATTTATATATCATAATAGATCTACTTTTTATCAGAATAGAATATCTTAGTTTTTCTTCTTTATCTTCAATATGTTGACCAGAACCTTTATCACGTTTGCGAAATACAATACCTAATTCTCGACGACGTTGAAGTTCCGCACTATAAAAAGAAAGAGTCTTATATTCTTCTATATTGAATATTTTTCATTGACTAACCGATATTTTAGTAAATGTTCTTCATGTTTTTGTGTAACAGCAACTGAATCAACTTCCATTTTTTTTGCAAGTTCTTCTGCTCTACGTTGAGCAGCAATTCGATTTGCTAAATTCTAATTAAATCAATAAAAGATATTTTTTTATTAATTATATAACAAAATATTATTATATTACTTCACTCTCAATTTCGAATACTTCGTCACCAGCATTTGGTAATGTTTTCCATCCAGATATTTGTACAGGCATACTTAATGTCGCACGTTCAATTTGAATACCTCTTTCATTGTATAAAGCTCGAACCTTTATGTATAAAATATTATATGTATATATAAAATTAAATGTTTTTATAATAATATTTACCCGTGCAACACTTTGACCAGCAAGTAATATAGTTCCTTTTTTTACAACACCACGTTGAACAAGTATAGTAGCGAGATTTCTGTTGAATTAAAATAAAGAAACCATAGACAATATATCGATCGATAATTGCTTACCATCCAAAGGCTCACCCCTTCCTTTGATTGTTATTGAATTCATTATTTTCTGGTGTTGTTTCTTCATGTTTAGATTCAAGTATTGTACCTTCAACAGGTCCATTTGGATCACCATGCAGTTGTTGTAATTCAGCAACAGCTAAGATTGATTCAAGTAATTTATCAATATTTATATTCTATACCAAAAGAGACATATATCTCATATATAAATTCTACAATAACAAATTTTTCTTTACTTTTAATGCTGATATTGGTACACCAACAATATCACCACCAATGGATTCAAGTTGTAGACCATGTTGAGCTAACATTGTTTCTGTCCGATTCTATTTATTTATAAAAAAAACATAAGAATAATTGATAAATATATTATCTTACAATATTTGAATCGGCTTTATCAATTTTATTAATAGCAACAACGATAGGAACTAAAGAAATTCATTGTCAAATTGTAGTTAAAGAATGAAAAACAAAATTACCTTTTGCTCTATTTGCATGTGAAATACTTTCTAATGTTTGAGGCATAACACCATCATCAGCAGCAACAACAAGAACAACAATATCTGTTACTTGAGCACCACGTGCACGCATTTCTGCAAATGCTAAATGACCAGGTGTATCAATAAATGTTACTGTCATCGTTTTTGATACGGGCACTATGATATATCAATTAGTAAAACTAAACAAGATAATATAAAAAAACTTACCAATAAAAGCACCAATATGTTGTGTTATACCTCCAAATTCACCGGATACAATATTACTATCTCGTAATGCATCTAATAGACTAGTTTTTCCATGATCAACATGTCCCATAATAGTAATAACAGGTGGTCGAGGTATTAGTTTTTCTTTTGGTGGCATTGGTCTATAAGAGAAATAATTACATTTCTGTATGTCAACAAAAAACTAAAGAAACATACGTGCGAATAAATTTTACTACATTTGTTAATGACTTCTTTTTTTCATTTGCAAATGGTGATGGTACAAGTCGATGTTTTCCACCACATAAATGAATAACTTCGACAATAACATTGAAATCATCAATTTCTAAAAAATTTTAAATTTATTCGAAATATTTTATTATTTCTCAATTTCACAAACCTTGATTATCAGATGAATATTGATCACCATTTTTTATATGAATAAGACAATCATAAACATGATCTACATTAATATTCATTGCTTGAGCAAGCGCTTTTACTGTCATTTTATGATAGATTTCTATAATGGGTCGTTTACTTTTTGGACCATAGGATATTGGCTAAAACAAAAATAGATTATAATTATTGTTTAGAATAATTGAATGACATACTTGATATTTTTTATTAGTTTTAGTGGATTTCGAAAGGAAACGTAGAGATGAGAAAGATGTTGTGGATAAAAGAGTAGATATATTTCTGCGTTGTAGTTGCTGTTGATGAAGGAAAATAAGAGAATTAGTCAATCGTTGTTGGCAAGAACGACAAATTGTCATAGTGGATTTAAATAGAAATTGAGTAATCATTTTATCTAAAAATTAGAATTTGTTTCATTTCTACATTTGAGTAATCAATGATATAGATTCTAAAAAATTATTAGTATACTGATTTACAGATTATTAAAAGCTAAATCTACAAGACTATAGAATTATAAAAAAGATGAATCTTCATTAATTTTAGCTGATCAATTAAAAAGAATACCTACTGTGTAGATAGTATTGATTTTCCTTCTACTTTACTTAATGGATATTACGTCTATCATAGATCTAGTCGTATTTTTCACTTTATTTTGAATTCGCTAATCATGATAACGCTTTTAGTTTTTCGCACTAACTTCTATCTTTATTAAAAGTCTAGTAAATTTCTAATAAAAAGACAACTGATATGTTTATTTCTATTGAATTAATTGTGTTTGATTTATTTTTAATGAATATATAGAGATACACTATAGAACTATACAAATACAGAAAAAAAAAGAAGAATAACAAGGTAAATAGTCAATCAATTAATAAATCGAAAAAAAGAACGAAAATGAACAAAGTAGAAGCAAATACGATTTCATGAGATGAAAATAGAACAAGTATTGATTGTGCTGAGAAAGTTTACAACGTAAATAAAAATTATTCTTTCTCAGAAATGTACTTTTTAGGAAAAGAAAAAATGAAAAAGAAAAAAAAATAATCATCATCCTTGAGCTATAATAAACTCTTGAATGTGAGAGGTTAATTTAATAAAGCATGGAATGTGATTATTTGTTTTTAATAGTGAAGATTAAGACACTGTTTAACTAATTTAAAAAAAGAAAAAGAAATGAAAATTTCTTTTTTTGATCTCATGCATATTAATAATAGTCTATTCGATTAGTTAACACACATGCACACATAGGAAAAAATTCGAACACACACACAAATGTAAAATATCTACAAGCAGATTATTTCAATGAAAGAAATATTTTTTTTTGCTAGGTTTTTATTGCTCATTTCATTTGATTAAGCTTCACTTTGTGATTGTAATGGTTGTGAATTACGGCTTTTTAATGATAATGTTTCAGTACCATTTATACTTCCAACTTCTTCACTAAAACTAAATAAAAAAAATAAATATTATTAATTTCAAAATACAATAAAAAATGGTCAAGTTAAGCGTGCTTCAAATTTGGAGTTTACGTATATGTAATTTTTCGTGAAAAGCTGGGACAAAGACATAACGTACTAGATGTTCCGGATACCCGGTAATTTGCTGCGGTGTTTGGAATTGAGTTTTTTTACCGGGAGTCCGTAAAGGGTGTAGGTGGGTGGGTGTGGGTTTGAGTGTCTGTGATGAGAAAAGAGTGGTTTATACACCCACAGCCACCAGAACACTGCTTGTTTAAAATTTTGTCATTCTGAAGATTTTGTATGTTTCTATGTGTCGGGAAATCGTAACGAACATCTCTTCACGTAATCGTAAAAAAAAGTGGGTGCGTTTTATGTATCTTTCCCGAAAAACTCTACCTAAAAACTTGTAAGCATCTGTTTTTGATTATTCTAATAGATACTCTGGACTGTGCTGAGTCGACTAGTGATGCTCAAGACCAAAAAGCACACAGTTACAAGCTACAATTTGTCGAAAAACTTGAAACTCGTAAACTTCAAATTTGGAGTAGTGGCGTAGCCACCGGGAGAGCTCTCCCTAGGAATTTTTGAGCTTCTCTCAGGCTGTTAGACGTTCTTAATTAAAAAACTATGGAGCTTAACCCTCCTACGACAAAATTTCGGTTAGTATGGAGCTTAGCTCCCCTTAGGGTAAAATCCTGATTACGCCACTAATTTGGGGCTCATTTAGTTTAGCTAAAAAAAATTTACCTTGTATCGGACAATTGCTCAAGGTCATTATCAGCATTTATTAATGCTTCATTATAACGATTAATACGATATGTTGTTGCTTCCATTTTTTGTTTAACAATTAATAATTCTTGTTCAACAATATCTTTATCTTTTTCTGTTAAATTTAAACGTTTTTCTAAATCCATAATTTTTAATTGTAAAATTTCACATTCATCTTTATTATCACGATTAACACGATCAGCTAATTTCATTTGTTCATCAGCACGTTTTACTTTTTCATCCATATAGGATAATTCAGATTGTAATTGTTTAATATTATCTTGTAAACGTGTTAATTGTCTTTCACAATGTTCACGTTTAGCAACTTCATAATCATATTGTAATTGTAAAACACGATTTGACGAATTGATTTTTTCTAATTCATTTTTATCAACTAATGATATTTGTTTTAATTCAAGTTTTTCTTCAAGAAAAACACACTAAAACAAAAGAATTCAATTAAGAAATATTTTTTCTCATAGAATAATATTCAATCAAAAGCATTCGTGCGTTGCGCATACATGCATGTCAGTATACAAGGACTGTTTTTTAGAGAACATAGGATAATATAGTCGATTGTCTGTCAAACTTAACACCGAACATGCTAGTCTTTCAACCTGAATTGATGCTGATGGTACTTAGAAAGAAAGAATAAAGTAAACTACATAATCTACAAAACTGAATATCATTTTTTCAAAAAAAAAAGAACGTCTATATACCTTTTCTTTTAATTGGCTATTATCTTTTTCTAATGAGGCCATTGTATCATATAATTTACTCATTAATCCTTCATGTATTGCATACTAAAAATAATCAAATTTGTTTTTTATTGAGAAATTATATTGAATATATGTTTACATTTTTAACATGATTATGATAATTTTGTAGAACAATACGATTTTGATCATTTAATTCTTCAATTGTTGCTCGTAATTCTTTATTTTCACGTGTAATCATTGCATTTGCATCTTCAACCTAATCGAAACAATTAGAATATGTATATATGTTTTTGTTTTTGTTATTTTTCATACCGATTTCTTTTGTGATTCAAGTGTTCCAATTTCTTTTTCTAATTTTTCTACTTCATGTTTAAGTGTTTCTTTCGTTTTTTGTAAATTTTTGATTTCCCAACCCATTTCATTAATATCTTTACGTAGATCACTTATTAATGAATCGGATGAATGAAGATTATTTGCTGATAAATGTTTTGTTAAACTATTTTGTGATGATAATTCACGTTGAGCTTCTTTAAGACGATTTTTTGTACGAAATAATTCCCGACGTAAATTAATCGAATCAACTAAAGAAGAAAAAAAACATATAATTTCAAATCTATTGCAACATTTAACAATTGAAAAAGAGTTCAATCTATTTTCTAGTTTCTATTTATATAAAACGATTGAAATTAATATCAAATTTCTATCTCTTATCATTTACACACATAGCGTTGAAAAATGAGCTAGTTGTTTTTTTTTGTTCTATCATATATCTCATCGTATTTTTTTTCCTTTTACACCAATGATTCATTTGATCGTAAAGCTATTTTTATTTCATAGTAATTTAGTCTAGTGTAAACTTAACAAACACATCAATTAAAAATTTTTGCTCATAAAAACATTTACTAATCCAATTACTATCTTGCTTCTTGTTTCCAGATAATTTACATCTTACTAACATTTATCAGTATGTAACATACAATTTTTCTCATCTCCTTTCACTTTATCTTAAAAGATAAATCAAGATTTGTGTTTTTTTTACCCATAAATGTCAATTAAATAGTGCAAATTCGATTATAAATAGTAAGTATTTTTACTCATTCCCAATAAAAAGAATACACTCATCGTTTCATTAACTATTTCTACTAATATTTGCAAAATATGATACAATAGATATTTTAAAGCTATTTAATAATTTATTTTTATACTTACGTTCATCTGCTGAATCGATACGTCTTATAGGCGTTGTTGATACTGAAGAATTTGAACGTGGTGCTGATGTTGGTGTTTGTATTATACTAGGTCTTGCGGCTAATTCATTAACTTCATTTGTTAATTCAGTAATACGTTGTTCTTTTGATTTTAAGGTCATTGTCAATGCTTTGACCTATATATAAAAAAACGAATATTAATAGAATAACAACAATAGCAAAAAGGTATTTTTTTTTCGTACTTGTTGTTCAGTTTTTTTACATTGAAGAATTTTTGATTCAAATAATGACATAATATCTTGTTGTTGATCGGACTAGAAGATAAGCAAAGAAAATTTCTTCTTTTTATTAATTCTATTTTACTTACTGATATTTCACAAAAATTTGAAACAAGTTGAAGAAGTGGATTAGGTGTGTCTTCATTAACTCTAATAAAAATTTAATATATTTAAAACTAAAAAACGTTCTTTTCGACATACTTATGCTGTAATGCATTGCAAAGGTGATGTAATTCCCTTATTGTTTTTTCTGAATGTTCAATATGTTGATATTGTTCGTTTAATTTATGTGTTAATTCACTGTTCTTTATTTCAAGCTGATCGATCTATGAAAAAAACGAAATAAATAAATGATTAAACAAAGAATAGATATTTACATAAGTTTTTATTTTTGGTGATAATTGTGATTGAGGTGATGATGGTGCACGTGGCGTAACAGTATTTTGATGTTGTTGTTGATCAATTTTGGCTTGTTCAGCTAGACGATAGTTGATTATATTCAAATAATAAATGAATATGTATTTCTAACCTGGTGAAAATGTATATGTAGGCACTTTTTTCGGTCGATCACCACCGAATTTAAAAACAAGACTTGAAACTTTCGGTCTTGGTTCTGGTTGTTCATTATTTCCATTTGATGCTGGTATTGTTCCTCCAGAAGGATGATTAATTGTAATCGTCTAAAGTAGAAAATCAAATATATGATTTTTATATAAATTATTTCTAATTACTGATGAAGTTTGATGCATTTTCTGATCGGAAGAACGACGTGTGCCTAAATGACGTAGGCTATCCATGACGCCCGTAAGATCTGAAGGATACAAGAAAAAAAAATCATTTTCGTTGATTGTTCAAGGATACAACAAGAAAAAAAAGAGAACTAAAAGAACGAATGATTAAAGAAGGACATTTCGACATATGTATAACATCATTTTTATATTCAATGATATCAATCAATTGATTCAAAATTTGACTCTTTTTGAATACGGTATATATGTAATAGAAGAGAATTGAATTGATTGTGACGAGTATGATTATTTACAACCCGTATACTTGTTGTTTTCTTTTCTTATAAGAAGAAGAAGAAGAAGAGAAGAAGAAATGAATCCTTTGATATGTCAACCAATCGAAATAAATGCAACTATTAAAATGACATTTAAATTTTTTTAAAATCTTTTCCATCGATAAAAAATAAGTTAGAAGTTTGATTAGAGATGATATTCATTAAATTTTCCTATTCATATAAAATTTAACTGGTTTATCTATGAAAATAATTATGTAGACTAATACTGATTACTAGCGACAACGTTCTACTAAAATGCTATAGCGACACATATCTTAAAGAAAAGAAAATATCTTCATACTTTCAATTGAATAATATATACTTGATGATATCATTTATTATTTTATTCAAACACAATACGAAATATATATCCTTTATAATGTCAAGAATTGTAACCTTTTATTTTTTTATAATATATCGATAAGTTACTAAAAATAAAACTATAAATTGTGTAATATCATCTACAATACAGGACTATTACAACTGGTTTTTATAAAGCAAAAGAATATTCTCTATAAAATTTAAACAGATCAGTTTTCTGTATTTAGAAAATAACAAAGTTCCTATTGCTTTTTTATCACACGTTTGAAATTCTGTTCTGTATACTTATCGAATAGACAAAAACCAGAATAAATATACTATTAGAGTGAAGATCGGGAAATAATAAACTCAACTACTTCCTATGAAATTTAATATAGTTCATTTAAGTTACGTAGAGTATTATTACCTTCTGATTCTGAATAATTAATTTTTATCAGTCACATTCTTGTAACTTTGTTACTATTATTCCAGCATTTGAGTAAATTTTACATCTCGTTTTCGTCTAAAAACATGTCAAGACTTGTATATCTCGTCGCGTGTGAATCCAATCGTAGATTTACTTGTGTTCGCTATTTCGTGACTTTTAATTAAATCAGATTCTTATATTATTTTAAGTTAGATTGTTTTTTTTTATTTATTTCTATATAATACAAAATCTATTAATCCCATTATAATGAATTTATTTAATATAAAAAGAAATTAATAAGAGAATTATTGATACACTTAGATCAAGCTGTTGATCGTATTTAAAAAAGAAAAGATTAAAGTCATCATTCACGATCGGCTTATTTAATGTTTTTATGAACAGCATTAGGTGGTCGAAATGGTGTTCCTGGTTTAATTTCAGTCTAAATATAAATAAATAAGAAATACAGGAAATAGCAGAAACTAATTAAATTACTTCTTTGCCAATATTAGTTTGTTGTCGTCCAGGAGTTTTTGTACTCATTTCTAATCGTTTGATATTCGCTTGTGAATGAGTCGATGTTGGAGTTTGACCACGTGCTAGTTGTTTGCGTGCTTTTTCAATTTCTTTTTCTTGAGAATAATTTTCTTTTTCAGTATTGAAAAAATCTTGTACAGCAACACCTTCAACTAAAAATTGATCTAGACAAAAAAAAGATTTCAATGAAAATAAATTAAAGTATGTTTTTTTTTAATTTTATTACGTCCAAATTCTTGTTCATATTCTTTACTGAGTTGTAAGACAGTATCTTGAACTTTTTTTAATGTAAATTCTAAATGTTTACGTTGTTTTTCTTCTTGTACAGCTGAATAACCTCGACGTTTAAATCGTTCAGGATCACTTGCTTGACGCTAAAAATAAATCATGAAAAACAAAAGAAAATATTAAAATTTTGTATTTTTACTTGAAATTCTCGATATTCAGCCCAAACTTCATGCCAACTAGCAAGATTAACAAATAATTGTTCATTATGAATATAATATGCATTTATTTCTTCCAATTCCTTTTCATGTTCATCTAATAATTCTTCTGTAAATTCATCTAAATAAAGAAATTATTTAACATATATATATAGTTAGATAGATAGATATATACATACTAGAATATAGTGGAAGAAAACTTTCCATTTGTTCACGACCATAAAAACATTTTTCATATTGAGCAAATATTTCATCTCGAATATTTTCAATATATGTTCGCATGTTTTGTCGTCGTAATTCTTTACATCGATCAATTTCTTTTTCTAACTAAAAGAAAAAGATCAAACAATTCATTATAGTCTGAAACAATATTTACGAGTCCTTGTTAGAACGATAAAAATAGAGCACTATATCTTGTAGACTGAAAGAAAATTCCTGTCTATCACATACTTATGGGAATATAAAAGCAAGTACAATGGATTTTGACGATTAACTGATATACATACATCATAATCGATCCGAATTTATCTAAGTTTCAGAATTCAGTATTACAACTCGATGGCCTACATTTTTTTGTATGTAGTAGTAGTAATACTTAGAATCTGGAATTATTTATATTCTCACTTTTTAAGACGCTATTATATTCAAAAATTTTTAGTTTAAGTGGAATTTTGATGAATTTAGTTTTTTTCAAATTCAAACTCACTCAAAATATTTTCTACTATCATCTGATGATCGCTCTATTAACTACACCTTTGTACATTCAAAACTTCTGGTTTCATCATGATGAAGTCTAACAAAACACGAGTGAATTCATTTCTGATAGTTTGACTTGAAGGTTTTCCAAAAATGAGAGATTTGATGTTATGTTAATTAATGTATATATTAATAACCCGATCATCTTGAAGTATTACATTTAACTATGAATATGAAAGTGATAATGAACTGCAAATCCTGTTAATCATACGTTCAATGAACTCTCTTTATAAAAACACTTAAAAAAAAGGCTGACACAATAAAATGAACATAGACTCATTGAGACAATATTTCTTTTTTTTTCTCCCTCATATACTTACTAGAATAAGATTTGCTGGTCGATGAGGCTTATCAAGTGGTAACTTAATATGTCTGTCTGAATCGATTAAATTTAATCGTTCATAGAGTGCATGAAGTGTATTAACAAGATGTTCAGCCTTCATTCGATTTGCTTGATATAAATTGTGAAGCTATTTTAAAAGAGAAAAATTAAAGAATATAATACTATTATTAATTATATCTCCGTACCTCATTAGAAATATTTAATAAACGTTGAACATTTGTTTTTGATAATTCAATTAGATGTACAGGTCCATCAATAAGATTGAGTACTTGACTATCATCGACCGGTTGATTATATGTATTATCAAGGTCAAGTTCTATTTTCATTTCATGTATTTGATTACGTGCTTGTTCAATAGCTGATGAACGTTCATTCTATAAATATAACAAAAAATAATCATTATGATTATTACATTTATTTCCATAAATATTTACTTGCAAATTTTGTAGATCATTAATATGTTTTTCAAGAATATCTTGTCGATCAGCATAAGGCATATCATTAACTTAACAGAAAGAAGATTTAAGAATCATTTTTTTGAAATAATTTTTTTTGTTACCTTCAGTATCTAAATTAATCATTTTTTCATCAAGTTTGTTACATAATTTTTCTTCAACTAATACTAATTGATTAATTTCTTCTAATTTCTTTTTTAAAACTTGATTAATTTTCTCGAGTAAATCATTCGCTCGATTTAATTGTTCAAATAAAGATAAATCATCATTTTCTATTTTCTTTAAAAAAAAATAAAATTATCTTTTCATAAAATATTAAACAAAATTTTACTTCAATACTATAATCTAATTTAAGAAGTCGATTTAAATGTGTACATTCTTCTAATATTGATCGTATACGTGCTTGAAGTAAATTATTTTCTTTACTTTCCGATTCATTTAAATCTTGTAAACATGTCTAAAGAAAATCAATCGAATGATTTTTTCAATTTGTTTCATAAATAAAATATCTACTTTTAAATGATTAATTATTGTTTGTTCTTTATCATTAATATCTTGTTCATTTAAACCACGTCGTACAAGATTCATACGCAATAAACTTAAATTTGATTCAATCCATGAATAAAATGGAATATGTTCAAGGCGACATTCAAGTGATGATTGATCGTGTCGAATACTTGACGAAGAACTTTAAAGAGAAAGAAATTATTTTAAATAAATAAAGAAGAAGAAGAAGAAAAAAGAATTTTAATTATTTACATATTTAATTCATCAGCATTAGGTGGATCTTCGAGGGAAAATGTTCGATCGGACATATTTTTCTAAATGAAGATTAAATCGATAATAAAATATGATATAAAGTATAGGAAAAAAAATGAAGCCTATGTGAATGAACAATATGTATCACATCAATCAATAGATCTATATACTCGCTCTTACCCGCCATTCTTTACGTCTCTCTTTAGTCATATTACGTTGTATGTCATTCGATGATGTATCTTCTGTTGTCATCTTTATATATTTCTTTCGTAAAACGGTTCGTTATAAATATAAGACAAAATGAATGTAAATGATGGGTCCGAATATAACAGTAACAGCAGTTGTCACTTGCCAAAAGGAAAGAAGCAGAATTTTCCTTTTTTTTTTCTCTTTCACACACCCTCACTCGCTCTTTTTAGTCGAGAAAAAAATAATAAAAAGAGAAAAGAATATATTGAAGAAGTACTGCCGACTGCTACCATATTTTTTGTGATTAGCCCTTCTGTCGCAGTGAACGACGAGTAAATGAAAAAAAAAAGAGAGAAAGAAAAACGTCGAGTTCATGCACGAAACAGAACGGCTACTTACTTTGTCGTTGATCAATATATATATATATATACATATATGAGACAGAAAATCTAAGTCACATCCGTTCGTCTTCTAAATAGAAGTTTCCTTTGTTTGGGAAAACGCCAATTATGATATTTATTTCTTTTATCGAATAGAAAAGTAAAACAAAAGTTTATATTATGTCAAAAAGAATCTATTCATTTGTTGTCTGAACAAATATATTTTATTGATGTATGAAGGTTGTTCTTTCTTTTCAATATCGATTAAGCACTCGCGCTTCTAGATGAAAGAGAGTAAAAAGGAAAACCGACATTGAACCAACAGCCGGTGGCATCTACAGAAGATGGCGCAATAGTTTCATAAATTAAAGTATCTTCCTCTGATATATAGATTTAATATTCTATCGTCACGTCAAAAAAAAATAAAGTATTGCACAAACTTTTTATATACGTTGAATGAATAGATCAAAAACGATACGACTTATTTTTACTCCAGATGTTTATATAATTATTTATTAATTAGTTTTTTTTTGTAAAGTTCATCTTTTCATTATCAGTCATTTATTTCCTGTAGTATAAAAGTCTACCAATGAGGATTCTATAATTCTCCAGAGACATATTGTTATTTTCAGACTAATATTAAAAATGATCTAGAAGTAACAGCAATAGATACCTGTAATTAGGTTATAGTGCGATGTTTTTGTTTTTCTTATCATAAGTAGAACACTTCTAATATGCAAAAATAGGTACTGATTATCAAGAAATTAAAACAATTGAATCCCAAAAGAAACGCTCGAAGAACTAAATACGTTAAGAATAAACTTAAAATAAAAACAAGTTGGAAATTTCAATGCATTGCTAAAATTATCTATACTACACAGTCAGACAGGATTTTAAAAACACGCGTTAGTCGGGAACTGCGACTGTGAGCTACTCACACTGATAAATAAAACACCAGAAACGTCGTTTTGACGTGGAATTGCCGTTTTTAGAGCGTTTAAACGCATAGTTTTTGAACTTTAAAAAAATAATGTGTTTCAGCGCTCTGAAGGCGTCATTTCTACGTCAAAAATGATATTTCTGGCGTTTTATTTATCAGTGTGAGTAACTCACAGTCGCGGTTGCCAACTGGTGCACGTAAACACGTGTTTTCAAAATCCTGTTTGCCTGAGTATTTGTAACACAATGTTCATCGAAAACTTAGAGATGATTAATACTATATTTCCAATTAATATATTTTATTCATGTTATGCTAACAAATCTTTGTTTGTTGTAATATCGAACATAAAACGAAGAATTTGTCATTAGTGTGATGCATACTTTTAATCAATTTACAGAATCACTCATATGATAGTTAAATGTACCATTGTGATTATTAATTAAATAAAAGAATGTCTATTCACATTTTCAATAGCAAATTTGAATATTTGTTCTATTTCTATTGATGTATATAATGTCATTCCAAGATTTTCTTTGCAAGAAAAATGATAAAAAAATAGTCTTTCAAATTATCAATGTTAGTATTAATATAAAATAATATCATGTGTACTTAACTTGTCAAAATCACTTTAAGAAAAAGAATTTTTATCAATTCTATTCATTTACACTGTTTTCTGTAATTTATAGAAATATATCTTTAGGTTAATTCAGTTTTTAGCAAAAATAAAAATGATTTATAGAACAAATAATTGTAATGCTATTTGTTTTTGCTAATGTCATAAATCTGATCGAGTGAAGACACATGAACACTTTTTGTATGAGATATTTTCTAAAAGTCATTTTTTATGTACTAATAAATATTTTTCATAAAGAAAAAGTTCATCTCTAATTAACGTTTTGTTATGTAAATTAAGGCATTTAAAAATGACATAAAAAATACATAATTAATACCATAATAAAAATCATTTTCAGGGTTAATGATAAACAATGTTTTATTCTTGAATAATATTATACTCGTTGTTCATCTTTCTCTAAGTTTTCATCATCGATATATCTCATAGAATTGATGTATATAAAGACAACTTGCATTTAATTATTTTAATTTATTCCATATATAGAGATCATATATGTTTAATATGAACTTTCATTCAACTGAATCATTTTATTTAAAAAAAAAAAAGAATAATGTACAACTCGAGTCTTGTTATTAGTTTTTTTTCTACTGTTCCATTCAACAAGAATACATCGACGTATATATATATATATCTATATATAAGAAACAGTTGTTAACTCGACAGAAAAAAAAACGATCAATCACAATATGAGCATGCGAAATGAATTTAAAAAAAAATAAGGACGGTCGCTAAGAAAACTAAATTTTTCAACTCGAATGATGATGTGAATGATGATATACAGGAAAATTTTCTCCTCCAACATTTGTTGATGAAGATGGATAATACCAATGTTCACTTGGAGTTGTTGTTAATGAATACTGTTGCGGTGTAAATGTATTACAATCATAATGTGGATATGGATGATATTGCTGTTGTTGTTGTTGTTGAGGATGATGAGAATGCATGCCTTTTGTCATGATAACTGATGGTCGATTTGTAGATAGAGGTGAATGTGGAGATGAAGGACTTGGACTTGGAGTTGATGTTGATGGTAAATGTCGGTGATGTGGAGATGAAGAAGCGAATGATGAAGATGGTGGTAGGGGCGGTGGTGGTGGTGGTGATGGATAAAAACATGCTTGTTGTTCACTGGGATATGGAGATTGTTGTTGTTGTTGTTGTTGTTTAACAGAAATTCGAGATTGAGCTGTAGGAGGTGACGATTCAACAATATCGGTTGGACTTACTTGTGAGCGTTGGGTAATTCGATTAGCATATTCTAAAATATAATTTAAAAAAAAAGAAATTTTCTTTTGTCTTCTAAATTCTCAATATTAACCATTCTCGAGCTCTTCATTAATAATTGGTTCAATACATCCATCATCCACTCTGAAAAAAAGAAGCGATGTTTTTTTTTTAAATCTATAATAGAAAGTCTTCTATTTTCTTACCCAATAATTTCTACAACTAGTATAACAAAATTTTCATCATTTGTTTTCGATTGCATCATTGTTGCAAGTAAATCACACCATATCCATTTTTGTTCAACAATAAGTTGATTATTATTATTATTGTTATTATTTCCATTTATTCGACGTTGATATTGTGGTGATGGTGAAACCATATTCATTTGTAATCGAACTACGTTTAATACAAGCTGTTGTCGTGATGATACTACAAAAAACATTAAATAGTAACAAAATTTATTTTTGTAAGAAATAGTTTTATACAATCTCGATGAGCTGTTATTAACGATGGTAAATCATCAGGATGTATATAAAGATAAAGTGATGTTGTTGCATGTGTTATTGTCCAATTCAATGTTCGTTGTAATCTATTTTTTATTTAAATAAAATATAATAATTAAAAAGAAAAATACACGAACTTCTCATCTATATAAGTAATATGTAAATTTTCATCTAGTCGAATAACACTTTGATGTTCAGGAATAGGAAATTCATTTTGTGATGGACTTAAACTTGGTATAATTGCTGTACCAACAAAACCTAATAAATGATCACCATTATGGGATGTTCGACGATGATCAGGATGTAACCAACGATGATCTCCAATTATTTGTACCGACTATTTGCAAGAATACAATAATAAAAAGAAATTTAAATAGAGAAAAAATATCTTTTACTCGATAACCCGGTGTTTTCATATTTGGTGCTCGTTTCGTTAAACTTGAGCGCATTCGAACACATAAAGATTTCTTCTTAAAACGATTACCATCTGTTGGTGCTTGCATTCGAGGACATTGATCGGCTAGAAAAAAATATTCATATTCTTTATCTATTCAAATATATTTATGTTTGAAAGTATTTAGTATTGAATCTATATTTTCAAATATTACAGGGTGCACCTGTCATTCGGAATGGGTTAGAATCGAGATACGATCATTAGTCTTAGTCTGATTCTTATAATATTCTATTACTATGTTAATTAACTAAGACTTAATCAAACTATGTCGAAGTCAACAAGTTCTGGATGGATATTTGCCTACATATATATCGATACAAATCATGTCTAGAAGCAGGAAAAAAACAGTTTTACTTACCAAAATAATTAAAAACTGTCGAAATCTATTCATGTAACATATTAGCATAAGGCGAACTTTAAAATTTTTCTGTACTCGAACAGAAATAGTGAAATATATGTATTTCGTTTAGTACTGAATCGACTTATTCAAATTAACAATAAGCTCTTTACAAAAAAAAATGCAATACAAAAAGAAAAGCCATTACGTGCGCATCCGACATCATCATTAATATGCGCCTAAATTTATTTCTTCACTGTCTAAGTAGAAAATAGTAGATGCTCTCTCATAGTGCAAAGCTAAATATAAACTTCTTGTCTCTTGATTTTTCTCTAAAAAATCTAACTATATATATAAAGTGCAAAAGAACACTTCTACATGTTAGATCACTGTCAAATATATTTTCTACTAAAACCTAGAATGTCATCTATAATGTATTCATGTCTTTGACTGAATTTTTCTAAAACCAATTGATTCTAGCCTCTTTAACTTACGCGATATATCAAGAAGATCTGGATCATTATTCGATGAATTCATTAAATCAATTGCTAAACTTGTTGTTGGACTTGATGGTGGTAATAATTCAAAACC